GAATACCACAAATGAATATAATAGAATACCACATAAGCCCTTGATATACAAATTTATAAAGTGGATCATGCTCCTTAGCATGAATTAAGTGCTTAAGCAGGTCGCGCATTTATTAATATACATGTAGTAGATAGACGCCGGCGGGGGATGTCGACAATCCTTCTCATTTAACACCACTCCGCTCCTTAGTAGGTGTTTGCCGAAACGATTTTACCGATAGATCCTCCTTTTATGGTCGAACTTACAGTCTCACAGTGATACGCGGTTTTATTTCGAACGGCTCATGTAATGGGGCGTACATTTTTCACGCTGGGAATAGCGGACCCAACCAGTAATCTTTGCATTTATACCGTGATCCTTTATTGATTTTAGATTTTTAGTGGAAAGCGAAACGAATGAAACGAGTGTGAATGGAGACGCGCTCTCTGTAAGCCGATGTAAGCCCCAGCTATGATATAAACTTTCATTCAACCGTATCATATCATACGTTAAAGGTACACTCATTTCTATGAAAACGTTTGCAATTTACTGGAACATGTATCTACATAACTCAATTAAAATTTCCTTCAGCTTCTAAATGAATTAGAAAAATTTTACAATCTATAAATCGTATCATTTGCTCGACCCTCTTACAGGAAACGGGCGTCTTAAGTTTTAAAACTTGAGCCATAAAATTATGATAAAGGGTTTTGTTTTTACGAGCAAAATAATTTACCCAAAGTCACTTCTAAACACTTAAGATGTAGAAAATACGAATAATAATATTAATTTTGCAGTAAATTGGGCTGACAAAATAATGTTATAAGGCAAAATATTAGAATCAATTAATTGCGTAGTTTCAGTAAGCAATAAAAACGAAACCAATTTGTATTCGGTCGTGTATAAATTTATCGTTTATAACGATACAACACAATATAACACATTTTTCTTGCTGAGACCCTCTCTTCCTTTAAGCCTAAAAGAAAAGAAGCAAAAGAAAGGAGTCCTGCCATTAAAATAAATAAAAGGAAATAAAGCACCGACCGCAAATTATTTCACTTACCTACTTCTTTTTATAAAAATGCGAACGACGCATTAAATTTTAGGGAGAAAGAAAACTCCCTTGTAAGCAATATCGAGCAGGCAAATTTTTCAGATATTGCCTTCAGGTAGCGCACATTTATTATGTACCCGAATATATTACTCTTGATTCATTGACTTTAGATATTGATTTACTTTGCTTGCATAAGCTGTAGTTGGGTAAAGTCCACAAGTAAACTACGGGTTCTGACTTGAAGAATTAGGGATAAAATTCGTGCGTGCGAACACTTCCCATTGCACAACTTTATTGACTAAACACGTTTTGCTCGTACGTTTACAAAGTAGAATCGATTTGGTTTTGTTTTCTTCTAATAAGCTCTAAAAGCTACGAATATTTTAATATATATGAATTGAAAAAATAAATTTTAATTCATTAATTAGAAATTGACTATTTAATTATAATATTATATATAAAATGATTATTATCTTGAAATAATGAAAAGCTCATATTAAATAACAATTTAGATAAATAATATACAATTATTATTTAGTGTATTTCATAATAATATCTTTAATGTAAATAATTCTGTGAAAATACAGCACAATTTAATGTTAATTTACACAAAATGCGTCCTCCCGTTTATTACATTAGCAAGTATAGTAGTTACGTTGTCGCCTAATATCAATGTTTATGGTGCGAACTTCTAAACTGTTATCACTTTCGAGAAGCCGAGTACATCTCGGCCTTTGCCAATGTCCAGTTGATTTACCGTTACGATAAGGTCATCTAAAAAGTTTCCCCAGCCCAAGACGTGGCACATTGTCTTGGAAGATTTAAAACCGAAAAACAACACAAAATATTATCTTTCCTTTTTTGTTTTCCACAAAATATCTCTCGGTCTACCGACTCATCCCTATCAGTTTGGGTCGGTACGTGAATTATGTTTCTTACATTTACTTCGTCGCCTTAAAACGTAAAACATGATGTTGATAAAATCGTGTGCAAATAAAATAAAAGTATTAAAATTAATTTTGTATTTAATTCGTAATAGTGATTATTAATGAATTAAATATTATATTTAAGTTATAATATACTAGCATTGCCCGCGGCTCCGTTCAGGTGACTAAAAACCAAATTCTTAGGGTTTACATATTAGTATACTCTTACAATGCAGTTTTTGTATTTTTTCTCAGAAATGAGATATTTTCCCGCGGTAAAAACTATCCTATATGTTGACCCGGATAGCCAGCTATCATCATACCAAATTTCTTAAAAATCTATCCAGTGGTTTTCTCGTGATGAGGTAACAGACAGACAGACAGATAGACAAACAGATAGACAAAAAGACAAAAATTCTAAAAACTATAGATTCGGCCTCTGTATCGATAATAATGACTATTTCAATAAGATTTTCCAAAAAATATTTAATGTACAGATTCGACTCAGCTAGAATTTTATAATATGAATAGAATCTATATAACATTTGCTTATTGATACATAAATTCAATAACATCTATATATATATACGTATATACAATAACTAGTAAGCTGATACCATTTAATTAACCACGCTAAAATCAAACTGATTCCCGATACCAATAAGCATAAACAAAAGACGTTTACGTAACATTTCCCTGAAAGCACGTAATAGGTGGCAGGCTGCATTCAGATTTTGCCGTTCACTTGAGTCGCTTCAATATCGATACTAGGTATATTATTTCAGGGGTAATATTAACTTGTGAAACCGACGATTTACCTAAGAGACGGTGTTAACACAGCAACTTCACCTCGACTGACAACTTATTTCCTTGGTAAGCTACTTCGTTTGTTTACACCAGTTTTAATTTAAAGATAGTGACTGATATTAAAATCAAAGTTGTGTTGGACATCTTTATCTATACATATAATAAAATTCTAACTAAGCCGAATCTGTACATTAAATATTTTTTGGAAAATCTTATTGAAATAGACATTATTATCGATACAGAGGCAGAATCTATAGTTTTTAGAATTTTTGTCTGTCTGTCTGTTACCGCATCACAGAAAAACCACTGGAGGGATTTTGATGAAATTGGGTATGGTGATAGCTGGTTATCCGGGTCAACATACACTTTTTACCGCGGGAAAATGTCTCATTTCTGAGAAAAATACAAAAACTGCAATGTAAGAGTTTAGTAATATGTAAAACCTAAGAATTTGGTTTTTGGTTATCTGAACGCGGGCGGAACAGCGGGCAATGCTAGTTAATATTATAAATTTAATTATTTAATACTTATTCACATTTTTTGTTAAATGACACAGTGTCTCAATCCCATGGGTTGACTGGATGGGATTTTCTTAAAGATAAGTCCTTTGCCTTGACTTCGCGTTATTGAAACATCTATTTTGGCGATTTAAGTATAGTATAAAAGTAGATACTAAAAAGTGGATACTCTAGGGTCAAAAGATCAATAGCAATTTAATGCATTCTATTTTAATTAATATTTCATTCAGGGGGTGTAATATTTATTATATTTAACGCGGCTTCTAAATGATGTTGTGGTCTGCCTTGGTGGTTAAATGATTTTGTTCGACCGAAAAGCAGTGTTTCCTATACAAACTCTGTCCTTCGTTTAAGGGTTGAAATTCGAAAACACCTTTCTTACCGACTATCTATATCGTTATAGGAATAAATTTAAAACAATATATACTTTCAGATTTCAGAACAAACAAACAATTAACAAACACACTTTCATATTTATAATATTAGTAAGTATGGATGGATGGATATATATATATAATAGGAATTTAGAGCAATCGTTAGTTCATTCGTCAGCACGCTTCCTGTGCAGTGTTCAATCAGAATCCCGCCACTACGGAATGAAGTATCCGAGCGATGCCTAAAGCAAAACAGATATTAAAGGAATTCAGTTTACCAACTTGTAAAGTTGATACCGAAATCTCCACTCATTCAACTCGTGCAAATGCTTAATTCAGTTGGAATAATTCTCTATTCCATTGTTAAGTTACTAAATTTGAAGTCCGACATTTAACTGCTTACAATTCAAAGGTAACCGCAAATTTCGAAATGAGTATGCTTCTATAGAATGAAACTTATTTGCAAACCGATAACTTTTAGCCCGAGTTGGTCAGTTCACGCCACCGTGGCTTAAACAACCGCTGTTAACAAACTATGTATAAAGGCATTCCTTTTTAGATTTCATTGTAAAACATCCCATATTGGGAGGGGATCATTGTTGATTGTAAAGTTTTGATCAAACAGCGCAATATATCTTTAAACATTTGGGGAACGGTCAGCAGTGGCTAATTAAAATCAATATTGGATAACAAACACAATAATTCAAATATAATCAAGCTTTAGAAAGGGATCACTCATATATAGTTATTTTGTCTTACTATCTTAATAAAAAAAAACGATATATAATTTTATATTTGTTCATTCGAAAAAAATAAGTTTATAATAAAATATATCTTTATATAAGATATATCACACTATATTTTATGAGAATAAATACTTTTAACTAGACAAAAGTAGATAAAATTTGCATAAAAACGATTATTCCACCCTTGTGGTATATAATTACGATAAAAACTTAAAAAAACCGACTTCAAGGCACTTAAATGTAAAAAATTATTAAACGGGGGTTTTCGTTTAGAATAGATACCTAATCAGATATTTTCGAAGTCGACATTTGGTGAAGAGATCGCGTATCATACACGTTGAGAATACAGCCAAAATGTAGATACCCCCTTTTCAAGTTAAACTAAGTCAAAATAATGTTGTATAAATGTAATATAATATTTATCATATTGAAAAAATAATTAATATTCAATGAAATATATTATGTATATGGAGATTAAAAAAAAGTACTAATAAAAAAAATACCTTTAAAATATAGTAAATACATATTAATATTGTTTTTTGTTAAAGGAATAAAAAATATTAAAATGTGAATGATAAATAGCAAAAGCGACATACCTCGACCGCCTCGTTGTGGGATCTTTCATAACCATAACCTCCGTGATTTCACCAAATTTGTTAAAGTAGTCCCGAAGGCTTTCTGTAAAGAAAAATGGATAAACATTAACCAAGTTAACAATTTGTAGTCTTTATTTAAAAGAAATCTAAAAGCACTTGTACACGACAAATGCTTGAATAGTTATAAGAAAATAAATATTTTTTTCGAACTCAAGTTCTTATTATTTGTTCAAGGTGTTGCTATTTCCAGGATTGAAAGACTCTTTGCATCGATATGGCAACAAAGGAGCTTCGTGGTACATTCACTCAGCATTTCTACAATGAAAGGGCCACATGAAACCTTTTCGATTTTCACTTACATAAAGTAAGAAAAAAACTAGTACATTTCCTCAGTTATGACAAATCTGAGCAAAAACATAGATTTGTTATTTGAATTTTAAATATTTTCACTCCTTGTTAAAACATCTCGAATGGCTGTCTGAAACATATGCAAGAAGCATCCAAGTTGGGATTTGTGGTCGTATTACTCACTAATGGATAGGGTGGGGAGGTTCCCTTCAAAATAAATATGCTGATTTTATGTTTCGTGTTCCAAGGCTTATTTTACATAATTTCCGGTCAGTAGCTGATGCATTATTTTGATTAAATATGTCATTGACAAACCGACAAATAAATGTAAATGTTAATAATTTGAAATTCCCGTATTTCCATTAACGTAATTGAAATATTCTTTAAAATTTTATTCCATGTTTTATATGTGATGGAATAAAATAAGCTTGATTTTGTATCTGAATTATATAGAAATGGCCATTCATCCTTGCCTTTTTAAAAAGAAAGGTAAAATTGGCAATTTTAGGGTATTTTGCAAATCCTCTATAAACAAAATTACAGTACTTGTAATCACATTATATAGTAATTATTCATTTATGTACATACGAATACGTTGTGATTTATGCAATAAAACAAAATTTAGTAAAATAATATTTTATTTTGAACAGATTTTAAATAAATAAAATGTACTGAGTTAGCAAGCTTGAACAATCTAGCTAGTTCAAATTATATAATTAAGTATCATGATAAAACAGTGTATAAATAAACATATAATTTCAGGACGAGGAAAATAAGAACACAGTAAACCAATGCAATAAGCTTTATATTATCACTTTTTACTTTATAAGTTTTACAATGTCACTTCAATTTTCGTATTTCCATATAAGATCACAATTAAATGTAGTTTTAACGATCACTTTATATCACTACTATTTAACCAATCACAGGAAAACTTTATCTTTTTACTTTTTACACATAAGTTTACCACTATTTTGATCAATAAGTTTACCAGCATAAATTCAATATTATTTTAACAACGATTACTTATCTTTTCTGGCGTAATGCACGTCTGTCCAAAAACTAACTCTTTCAACGGTTACCTTACGCTTTTTATATCAATCAGCCGGAAGTGAAATTTTAATTATTTTTATAAAATCATCCTAAAAATCAGTTAAGTATCCATAATTTATAATTTAATTTTATTAAATTAAACTTATAAGCATATAATTACAAAATTAGTAACTCGAAAAATATGTTTAATTTTAAGATATTGACTGTTAAATTATTATATTTTAATATTTCTTTAAAAGTATAATCAATAGATATTCCATATTAATTTGGAGTAGTCAAATATTTCCTGTTAATTAATTAATGACTTTTAATGTATTATGTACAATTTTAGTACTCCGTCTAAGCCTAGTCTAACAGTTCGTCCATCCTGACGAATATTTGCGACCTCGCAAATGAGCAAAAGGTTTAATAATTTTAAATTTTCTTTATTATCAGATCTAAACTTAATACTGGTATTCCAAAATAATATTTTTTTTCGATTCAAAAATATATTTTTTTGGCATTAAATCATTATTATTATTATTATTATTTTTTCTAAACGTCATGAGTCTACTACCAGTTCGGAAGGAAGAAGCCTCAGACCTGAGAAGAACTGGCGAAAGAAACTCAGCGGGACTAATATTATTTCATTATTATTATTACTAATACTCAAAATACTCAAAGTAACCAATAAAAGTAACAAATTAAAGATCCGTGACTCAACAATATCAGAACTATTAGTAGCAACTTCATCATCTAAGCTATTAATGGACCATCAACACCAAAACTATTAATGGACCATCAACACCAAAACTATTAGTGGCCCATCAACACCTAAAACTGTTGATGGCCCAACAACAGCAAAACTATTGGTGGCCCAACAACACCAAAACTATTGGTGGCCCAACAACACCAAAACTATTGGTGGCCCAACAACACCAAAAACTATTGGTGGCCCAACAACACCAAAACTATTGGTGGCCCAACAACACCAAAACTACTGGTGGCCCAACAACACCAAAACTTTTGGTGGCCCAACAACACCAAAACTTATTGGTGGCCCAACAACACCAAAACTATTGGTGGCCCAACAACACCAAAACTATTGGTGGCCCAACAACACCAAAATTATTGGTGGCCCAACAACACCAAAACTACTGGTGGCCCAACAACACCAAAACTCTTGGTGGCCGCATCAATACCACTTGGTCAAAGTAATACGGTGAGACGGGATACCTGTGACGTTCCGGGATCCCACTTCTGAAAATTGATAAAACAGTGTATATATAAACATATAATTTCAGGACGAGGAAAATAAGAACACAGTAAACCAATGCAATAAGCTTTATATTATCACTTTTTACTTTATAAGTTTTACAATGTCACTTCAATTTTCGTATTTCCATATAAGATCACAATTAAATGTAGTTTTAACGATCACTTTATATCACTACTATTTAACCAATCACAGGAAAACTTTATCTTTTTACTTTTTACACATAAGTTTACCACTATTTTGATCAATAAGTTTACCAGCATAAATTCAATATTATTTTAACAACGATTACTTATCTTTTCTGGCGTAATGCACGTCTGTCCAAAAACTAACTCTTTCAACGGTTACCTTACGCTTTTTATATCAATCAGCCGGAAGTGAAATTTTAATTATTTTTATAAAATCATCCTAAAAATCAGTTAAGTATCCATAATTTATAATTTAATTTTATTAAATTAAACTTATAAGCATATAATTACAAAATTAGTAACTCGAAAAATATGTTTAATTTTAAGATATTGACTGTTAAATTATTATATTTTAATATTTCTTTAAAAGTATAATCAATAGATATTCCATATTAATTTGGAGTAGTCAAATATTTCCTGTTAATTAATTAATGACTTTTAATGTATTATGTACAATTTTAGTACTCCGTCTAAGCCTAGTCTAACAATCATTAAGTTGGTCTAACTATAGAGTCAGGAAAATATACCCCTTGTATAGTGGGTTTAAGGTACTCTTGAATGACTAATATTTTTTTTAGTTTGTAGTCCGATCTAATTAACATAAAAATAGTGATCACATAATAAAAACTCCGACAGATCTGAATTTTGCTAGAAACCTTGAGTACACCAGTAGAAACAAAGTGCCAAAAATCCCCATCGCTCCCATGTATGCTAAAAACATTATTCAAGGTCAAAGGTAAAAAAAAATTGGATTTTTCTCTAAAACGGTAAGTTTTATCAAAAATATAGCTCCGACAAAAATTGTAGATAATAAAATGTGCAAAAGTGTACAAAAATGGTTCTAATATTTTTTGTCCTAACAATCACCATTCCTAAGATAAGGCAATTCTAAAAGTTGAAGGTGTTACATTCTTCATTATATGCACACATTTTCACCACCACACTACCTGTGAGGTAGTTAGTGTACTTGGCGTGTTTTTTTAACATGATTTCAATTTTTTTTTATTTTTAAGTAAAATATAATTAATTTCAAATATATTATTATATAAAAATAACATTTTTATTACTAGTATATGTATAAAGACTATGAACAAGTGTGAATGAGTAGGTAGATTAGTCTAGGTCACAAGTTGAAAATGGTGAAAAATAGAGATAAAGGTCCTAAAAATATATTACGTGCGATAGCTCCGGGAATGATGCCTAGAAAAAATTTTCAGCATGTAAAAATTTCAAAAGTTATAAACAATAAAGATGAAAAAAAAAAGAAAGTATTTTATACGTCAAACTAAGTTAAATTGCTTTTTTATTCAAATAACTTTCATATTTCACATTCGTTACTTTTACGCTTACACAATAAAATAAAGAAATAAAAATTAAGTTTTTAAAGAAAACTCTAGCAAAGGTGTTGAATTTAATCATAATTAAAATGTTATAAATTAATTTTTGATGTATTCATACATAGCTAAATGAATTGACTTAAATATTAATTTAACCAGCACTGATTCCACGAACACCTAATTAGGTACCTATTGTAAATGAAAACCCTGTTCAGTTATTTCTTGATCTGACCTATTTCCAAGAAGGAGGAAGTAGATACTAATGTATTATACAAACGTCTGTTTTTTTGTAAATATAACTTAGACATTTGTAAATGAATTTTCATGAGTTCTTGAAGTATTGAAGTCGGTTTGCATGTTTTTTTTAATTATAAAAGTAATTAGGTTAATAAATGATTTATTATCTAATTAAAATTAAATTTTAGTCAATGTTTCACCAATACGTTTGCGAGTAATGATTCAAAATTAACTTAGGTGATATTTTACAATACATTAAGTTCGAGGGTTTTCGATTAATACTAATTAAGAACAAACAGGCCAATCACAAGAGGCTTATTGTGAGATACATTCCAATTTAAACTTGCCTTCAATTTGAGAGTGCGGCGCTCTAAAACCAAATGTTGGGCTCTGCTTTTAAAGTCGATTTTCGACTTGTTTCGAAGTGAACTTTTCTAATCTGACCAGACTCCGGCTTCTGTACCACACTTCGGAACAGTAATGAAAAGTAACGATTGCATGTCCACTTCACCATTAATCAGTTCTACCGTGTATGAAGTACCCGACTACATTGCTATTTATTTTTCCATTTAAAACTGCTATTTTTATGATTGAACAAAACTTTTACAACTATACTTATTCAAAATTTCAAAATTCATTGTTTAGAACAATTCTATTACAAGATAAAAGTAGAGTAGCTACTAAATATTAAAAAACTAAGATACAAAAAAAATAACACGCCAGCATTTAGTTCGGAGGTTATACGTTAGATCACGCCTACAAAGCAATAGTAAAGGACAAAGCGTATAGATTCGGTACAGTTCAACCACCATAAAATTAGCATTTGGCTGGCGAGTAGCATTTTCATCCAAATACGTAGTAGGCACCTGAATTATTTGACCGCTATTTCAAAAATCGATTTTGTTTGATTAGAACTAAAGAAATGTGAAATTTAAAGCAAATCTATGTACATTAACTCTATAAAAATAAATGTATTTTTACAGAGAAATATTAAAAGAGTTTTTATAAAAATATGTTTATATAAAATAAGTTTTACATAAAAACGCTTATTTAAATGTTATTCTTAACTAGCATTGTCCGCGGCTCCGCCCGCGTTCAGATGACCAAAAACCAAATTCATAGGTTTTACATATTAGTATACTCTTACAAAGCAGTTTTTGTATTTTTTCTCAGAAATGAGATATTCTCCCGCGGTTAAAAGTATCTTATATGTTGACCCGGATAACCAGCTATCATCATATTAAATTTCATAAAAATCCCTCCAGTGGTTTTTCTGTGATGCGGTAACAGACAGACAGACAAAAATTCCAAAAAACTATAGACTCAACCTCTGTATCGATAATAATGTTCGTTTCAATAAGATTTTTCAAAAAATATTTAATGTACAGATTCAGCTTAGTTACAATTTTATTATATGTATAGATAATGGAAACATCATCAAATCATGTTAAAAGCTATTTTGCGTATCTTTTAAAGTAGTTAATGTACATGCTTTTGAATTTCGTAAAATACTTGTGTGATTGCGTACGTATTTCAGTTGCAATTGGCTCAGAAGCGGCAAGTTTCAATTTAATGGTGGATGAACATGACAAATGCTGCGTCGCCCTTCTTCGCTTCGATATGAACTTATTACAGGTTTAATGCATGGCCATATTAATTTAATAAAATTAAAATATTACACGACGCTACGGTTGACACTTAAAATAATATATTGAATGAAAAAAAGCATGTTATGAAAATTGGGCGTTGGATTTTGCGTAGGTATATTTTACATACTTTCTACCTTGCCAATGAGTATTTTGATTTATTATCTATTTATTTATGTATAATAAAATATATGTTATACAAAATAAAGTAATAAAATGTCAACTAAGGATAACTTATCTCTTTATGAGATTTTTTCCAGAAACCCTTCAAAAGTGAGAAAATAAGTTAATTTAGTGCGAGTGTACGTACAGTACACTTACTTATATTTTAACATAATCGCATACTGAAATTGACATAAAAGTAAATAGGACAAGATTGTAGCTTCTATAGATTCTTTTATCTTTTCTTTAGAAACCTTAAATAGATATTAAAATTATAATACGACACAAAACCCAAGTTAAAGCATTCTTAATTATTGTTATGTGAATACAACCTATTACAAAATATTATGTTCAACCAAATATTCATTCAGATCTTTTAAGATATTGTTCATCAAAGAATACCTAATTATGGAAATTTCAAAACAACTTGGACTTCAAATGCCCTCTAATTGGCAGTTTTAATCTACTAACTTTTGTGCGAAATTCAGCAAAAGTAGGCACCAACTTGTCGTGGTCGGTGGTAAAACGAATCAAAATCATCTAACTCAGAATTTATTTGAGCAAATTATGGGAATCGGAATGGTTATTTTAATTAATTCGCATTTCGAAATGCCATTGTGGGATAATTATGTAAACAAGCGTTACTTTGTTATTCTTTTGAAATTGAATTAGAGCATTCAATCGATTAACTCGTCCAAGTTTCTTTCTTTCACCCACTTTTGAGTACACAAACATTTAAAATTTATGTTATAAAGACAAATAAGTTATACAACAAGTTTTTCAAAGTATTACCTTTTTTCATTGCAAACAATAACGTGAAAGAGTCTTCCATTCTTCTTAAAAGCAAGAGGAGAATCGATTTTAAAGTTTGCGCTGCGGGCGAGCTGGTCACTTTAAAATTTTGAAACAATAGATTTTATACATTGTCCATACATAGATAGCTGAATAGAACCTTTTGCTACGGCAGATGCTCAACCACCATAAAATTGGAAACTAGCCCGCCCAAACCGTTCGAAATAACGTGCGGCATAATAAAAAAAAATAATTGATATCACACAATAATTCTACAGACATCAATAAATTGAAATACGTCAGCTATATGACCCAACTTCATTAATATCTACGCCATTTTAGAAAATACTTTACTATTTTCTATACGCGGAAATACTAATATTGGTTTTAGTTTATGAAATTTCATTTGACTTTTAATATTTAAGATTTTTAGATAAAAAATAATAATAAAGAATCAAATAATACTTGCTTAGAATTACTCGAATATTTGACATTTTAAATAAAACTATCTTTTCGGATTATTTCGCGCATTTATTTGGATTTTTGGTTCCCGACGTTTCGAATGCTTTACAGCGATCATGGTCACGTTTTGAGGTGTTAGATGTCTCGAAGGTTAGGTATATTTGTTACAGACAGCCTACCCACAAATAACAAAATGAAAAATTGCACCAAGTACCTTTAAACATTTTTATAATTTTAATTAGTTTTATAATTGAATATGGAATATTATTTATTTAATTTTTGCTGTTATTATAATTATTACAATTTTAAAAAATAAATCCGCGAAATAATCAGAGAAGATAGTTTTATTTACAATAAAGAATCAAAATAATCAAGTGTTTGTAGCTCCTTCAAGTTGAACTTTTTTAGCTGGACGGATTTAGATGTAGTTTTGTACGCAGATAAACTAGAATCTAGAATAGCGCATAGGCTATCAGACTAAGAACTCACCCAAGCAAAGCTAGTTGTATATAAAGAAAAGTCAAAGAACGGATCATGGGTAAGCCACTAGTAATATATAACAACTAGCATTGCCCGCGACTCCACCCGCGTTCAGATGACCAAAAACCAAATTCTTAGGTTTTATATATTAGTATAATCTTACATTGCAGTTTTTGTATTTTTTCTGAAAAGTAAGATATTTTTCCGCGGTAAAAAGTATCCTATATGTTGAACCGGATAACCAGCTATCACCATACCAAATTTCATCAAAATCCCTCCAGTGGTTTTTCTGTAATGCGGTAACAGAGAGACAGACAGAAATTCTAAAAACTATAGATTCGGTCTCTGTATCGATAATAATGTTTATTTCAATAAGATTTTCCAAAAAATATCTAAAGTACAGATCCGGCTTAGTTAGAATTTTATTATATGTATAGATAGGGAAAAACGAAATCTCTCAATCAATATTGCAGCAGCAATACAGCAATCGATCTGCATGTAGAAGATATCCCGCATCGCATATTTTATCTTTAACAATCCTGGCCTAACCGAACCAATTAGCGAAAACCTTTCACAATATAGTTTCGATGTTATAAATTTGGCACTTAGCCTGATGCAAATTTTCAGTGTTGTCAGCAAATAAATGTGTTCCATGAAAAAAAAGTAATAGTTACGTCGGCTGCACTAAATTGTCACAAAATAAAATTTTTCATTTAGACACCAATATCAGTGGGACGTTGTTTTAAAAAGTATCGTCTCATCCTCTTTTATTTGACTCACTTTTATGTAATACATTTAAGCGGTAATTTCATTAGAGCGAAATATAATTGAGGAATTTTTAAAAATACAAGTACGTACAACTGATATCAACTTTAATTATTTTCAAAGCTTTACTAGATATGATAGTTTTTTCTAAAAACATAAATTGAAAGCAAGTAGCGCGTGCATATTTAGATAAAATTTCATTAAATTATCCGCATTTTTGCTATATACTCTAGCGTCTGTCTGTTTTCTACGTAATTATGGTTATATTTTAAACTTATTATATTTTGGAATAGCACTAAAAACGCATTTCAAAAATTAAAGTCTACTTTTTATGGTGAAAAATATCTTAATCTCACGGGAAAACACAACATTTCTTACCCCGCTTAAATTACTAAACCCACCTTAATAAAATTTTGTAGGGATTCTTTTAAGCACTGGGGACTTGCATTTAAATGTACAGCTAGAACAGACAATAATTTTTTTCTACTTTTATTGCTCGCAGGTGAAGTAGCAGTAAAAGAGTAGTATGTCAAAATTATTCAAATTAGTTTCAATTAAAAGTACTTATTTGAATTAGATGAATTTTAAAATAGATTTTGTTCAAAAGTTCGTATTTAATATTAATTTTATAATATTATAAATGTGAAAGTTTATAAGTATTGATGTTTGTTACTCTTTCATGAAGAAACGACTGAACGGATCTGGATGAAGGATGGAGGAGGTCATAATTAAAAAAAAAAATCTTTTTAACAATTTTACGTCTATTTATACGTCTGTTACATTCGCTACAACTAACCTATAGCATTATAGTATTCACTGTATAGTATTAAACATATAGAAAACCTTCTACAAAACCAGTTAACCAAAAACAAAAAGATAAAAAAAATATTTACTGACTTAATGATACTTTTAGCGTTTATACACTACTTTAAAATGGTGTCCTGCCTATAAAATCGCGCCATTAAATGCGTATTGTGGTTGGCGAGGCGCCAAACACGTACAGGCACACGTCCGAATCTGCGAATCTCTCTCAAATGGATGATTTCGACGTATCAACACTGAATAATCGTGGACTAAACAAAGATTTAGTGTTAGAGTACATGCGCACAGTTATATAAGTACATTACCAATCGATGCAACATAAAATATGTAGGTCAAAAATATAAAACATTCTTATATAATATATCCCATATATGAATTAGGGATTACTTAGTACAAAGAATTGTTTCTTAAAAGAAATAATCTTAAAAGGAAAAGCCCTTTAAATATAACGACTGGAATAAAGAAATTTTGTACTAGCGCACGCAATAATTGAAAGCGGGTCACACATCAAAGTGATCGCAAAAATGTATGGTAAAAAGGAAACATTGTAAAAATCACGGCAACGTGTGAAGTGTCATCTGCTCGTCTGAGTGAAGTGGCCGATCGCTTGTTTTTCCCACTTTTGATAGGCGCGAAGTGAAGACTGAAGTGTTCTCGCCTCTGATTTCGAACCCCGCAGCCCGGAGGCTCGCACACGCCTGCTTTTTATGAGGTCAAGAGAGCCTCCACAAAAAACACGTTTCACGATAAATTACGCACTGACACATTCAGATTTGCCCATAACGTACACGATCGTAATATATTGTTTTTTTTACCATTTTATTCTAGCGTAATATTTTTGTTTGCTCACCCTTAATTATTGTGAAATTTTTCATTTAATTCCGTTTTATTTATCTAAAATTGAACGACCAACTCGTGCACCAGATTGTTCGTTTTCATTGAGCCTCAATTGCTAGTGCAAGTTCAAACTACGTTATTACAGGTAACGTAGCAAGGAACTGACATGCGCCAAACTTCACAAATATATTCAGAAGATGATGGGTAATTTATTCTCAATAACTATCAAAACACTGCAGATGTCGTACAGTTTCAATTTAAGGGCATACAGCGCCGGAAGTTCTATCCAAGATGAACTTTGGGGGAACTTTGTTCCTCCTGACATTGTCAACTAATCTTCTAACCGCCAGCGACGGAGCATGTGTACGGTCGACGACACAGACTTCTATATATTATCAATAATATTATACACGAATGACGTCTTAACTTGCCTGTAAGATTGTCTACGAAGCCTAATAATTTTCATAAACCACTATCTCTCACCACTCGGTACAACGAACGTCAAAACAATTGTTTATTATATTTATAATTGTAACAAACTTTGTACACATATGAAGGTTTTGGTTGTTAGAAGAGAATTAATATATGAAACTATCAAGTTTAGACGAAATTATTCACATATTATTACGTCGAGTTGCGCTATGGAACAATTTGGTGAATATATGTAGTTAAATGTGTAAATATTCTATAAACATTGAGATAGCTTATAATACTCATATTATAATCCATTTTTCTTTCCACCAAAGTTAGACCGAATTTAATTGTCTTATTATTATTATTAGTAACAAGCGGTTTACCCTCGCTTGGCTCAGATGCGGCCCCATGAACCAAATAGAAGCCTGTATGTTAATTCAAATCATAATCTATCCGTATACTAAATTTCATCCAAATCTGTCTAGCCATTTTAGAAGAAGTAAGAAACACACACACACACACACTTGCACACACACACTTGCACACAAATATTCGCAATCACAATTGTAGTTAAGTACTTTTATATCATCATAATGAAACTGATGATGCAGCATAAATACACGAAATTATCTGCATCATTGTAGCTAGCAGATTTGAATTCTGCATAAACAAACACTTATATTGATTTTATTATATACATATCTTGGTTATATATTTGGTTGGTACAAAACACGGCATTCATGGCCTAATATCTAATACCTACAGCATAAAAATAAATATGAAAATTCATACGTAGCGAAGATATCATAATATATACACACAAAAAATTTAAGTTCTTGTCACACATGGGTGGACCATAGACAATGGGTTTACTGTACCATCCCCTTTTTAAGTCAGTCTATTATATTACGTAAATATAACTTGATAAAACTGAAGCTAATTTCATATATTGCATTATTTGAAATAATTAAAATTCACTTGGTGAAGGATGTTTAAAGTAAAATATACAATAATACCTATTTTTTTAGGCTCTAATCTATACATATAACAAAATTGTAACCAAGCCGAATCTGTACATGAAATATTTTTTTGGAAAATCTTATTGAAATAGAGGCCGATATTATTGATACAGAGGCCTAATCTATAGTTTTGTACAATTTTTGCCTGTATGTCTGTCTGTCTGTCTGTTACCGCATCACAGAAATACCACTGGATGGTCAACATATAGGGTACTTTTTACCGCGGGAAAATATATCATTT